ATGGAAATCTTCTTTGAACAAACATATAGCAATGCATGCTGGTGAGAAACCCTACATGTGTGGGGAGTGTGGGTACAGGACTGCTCGCAAGTCTACCTTATCCCTACATAAGAGAACCCATACAGGAGAAAAACCCTACAAGTGTGACCAGTGTGACTATTCTGCTGCACGGAAAGACACTTTAGACGATCATCTCACCAAGCACACCGGTGAGAAACCCTACATGTGTGGGGAGTGTGGGTACAGGACAACTCAGAAATCCATCTTACTTCCGGACCATATGAGACCCATACAGGAGAAAAACCCTACAAGTGTGACCAGTGTGACTATTCTGCAGCAAGGAAATCCCACTTGGACATTCATCTAGCAAAACACACTGGTGAGAAACCCTACATGTGTGGGGAGTGTGGGTACATGACTGCTGACAGGTCTCACTTATCCCAGCATATGAGAACACATACAGGAGAAAAACCCTACAAGTGTGACCAGTGTGACTATTCTGCAGCAGAGAAATCCAATTTAGACAAACATTTAGCAAAACACACCGGTGAGAAACCCTACATGTGTGGGGAGTGTGGGTACAGGACCACTTACCGGTTTTCATTAGCCAAACACATGAAAGGCCATACAGAAGAAAAACCCTACAAGTGTGACCAGTGTAGCTATTCTGCAGCCTCTAAGTCTATCCTATGTCGACATATGAGAATTCACACAGAGGCACCAAGTCTGCAACTGTGACCATCTCGTAGTGACATTTAGTACGCACAGTCTGCTGTTAACCACAGTTTCGACACTTAATATTTTGATACGAATCTTAAGGGTATATGACAGTTATGTTCATTAAGATTTAGGCTGAATATTCTGTAAGAATTCATGATGTTTGCAAGTAGGCAAAGGTTTTTCTCAAGAAAAAGCCCTATACTTGTTCACTTTAATATCTAATTAAGTTATGGCTATGATTCAGGTACAAGAATAAGTCTTAGTTTCGCTTAGTAGCCCATTTACTTTGTCGTAATACCAGATATCAAAATCTATTTTAGCTACCTAGAATTGTAGAGTGAGACTAGTAAGCATTATAGTATGGATTGGATAATGTACATATACATAATCAGTAATTAACATCGGTACGTGATTGTACACAGTAGTTGAAGCTGAAAGGTAGACATTAGTGCTGTGTTTGTACACAGTAGTTGGAATGTAGACGTTAGTGTTGTGTGTGTGCGAGCTTAGATTTCCTGTGTATCTACTAGTAGTTCTTGTCATCGGTAAGATGATTGTAAACAGTAGTTGAAACGTTGAAGTTAATATTGAGTTTGTTTGAATGAAGCCATTGAAGCAGCTTCTATTTCCTGTTAATCCTTCACTTTGTCCAAGTGTTTGCCTGTATGTCTTACTTACCTTAGACCTGTATGTCTTACAGACACAATAATATCTTTTGATTTATATAAACTCAGTAGACTAGCGTTTGGTTCATAGTGAAATCTTAACGCTGATTTACATCAGTGTAAATCGACCGATGTTCTTCAGTCTCCGTCTAGGAAGTAATTTTACAGCTTTACAAAGGTAGACGTTATGTTGTATACAAGTATGCTGTTTGTAGTTTATTTCGGAGATGTAGTTATAATAATTAAATCATTTGATACTTTCAAGATAATGCTTTTCTAGCCTTTTTTGCAATGATAGAGTTTGTTAAATTATCACAAAACATAAAAATCAACATTCAGAAAAATGATGTTTGGCTGTAATTATGTTTACAGAAGAAAAACATCTTGTTTTCTTCTGTTTCCTCTTCTCCAAACACAAAAGGTCAATGACCTGGGTCAGACAGCCTGTCACCATGGTAACTAGTGTTGGTTTATATCATGTTGCAATTTTATAGCAGAGGGGATTTAGAAACCTGTCATCATATATATGAATGTGTTTGAATAAGAATTAACAAAGCAGCTTATGCGAAGGTAAACATTACATTATGCTTTGCTTTGCAAATGTTACCATTCTAGTCAGCTTTTATCTTCCTTTCATTTATTATTTGATATTAGACCAGCAAAAATGGCGTATTTTACGTTTTTCGGTGATCTATTTGAAGTGTAAAACATTATGAGGAAAGCGTAACGTGCCACGCGACGTTAAGTGCACTACATGGGTAATCAGGCAGAGAATTTAAACTTTGACCTGCATAGAGTTCACCTCTGACCTCACGAGACGAAGGAAGAACAAAGCTGCCCGAGTTCCGGTTTACGTGAAGAGAAAAACCGTCATAGGAAGCAGGTAAGGCTTAGAAACAGGCAGAAAAGTATTCTGATGTGGAGGGGAATAGTTTAAGACCATTTCTTTGGAAGAAGAACCGCAGTAGGATGATAATTTGTAGGCATTTTCGGGATGTGAATATCGTGGAATTAAAGGGGGGGGCGAAATCAAACATACGTCGACCGTCGCACTTACATGTACGTCGATTTGCATCAGGCAAAGTGGCCTTTTTAGAGTACGTGAAATTATATGGAATGTTAATTGTATTGTAAAGAATCGCACGATGCGTACATTACAAAATATAGAAACGCGTAGAACTGATTTTTTAAAAACAGTAAATAGAGAAGCCTGGAGACCAAACCTATAGGCTATACTGCCGACTCTCTTTCCAGCCTAGCGTATGGAGTCAGTTTACCCATTGTTCGTAGTTGTAGAAGTAATAAATAATATAAAATGTTTTTGAGATGGGTGGTGTGAGTGAGTGATTGTAAGATCTCACAAATTATGATTTTGGAACAACATAGAAGCAAATTTATTCAAATGCGAGAAAGACAACACGTCAGAATTTTTTGGGTTACGTTGTAATGCATTAGGTTAAAATTGTAAAGCTTGGTGAAGCTAGAATTCTTTGAAGCTTGTTTTCTATAAATTCTATCTTATCTTATCGCTTAATCTGTATAATTTCTTCATTTTTTTTGTTAGGCTGAACATGGCAACGGCAGGACAAGGGTCTCCCACCGGAGTTGGTCAGGACTGCTGTGATGGGTCTCCCACCGGGGTTTCCCAGGTCAACTGTGACAGCAAAAAAGGCGATGTTCAAGGCCAGGCGGCAGCACAAGTCAACTTGAATAACGCTGGTGAGAAACCCTACATGTGTGGGGAGTGTGGATACAGGACAGCTAAAAAGTCTCACTTATCTCAGCATATGAGAACCCATACAGGAGAAAAACCCTACAAGTGTGACCAATGTGGCTATTCTTCTGCACGGAAAGCTAATTTGGACCAGCATCTTGCAAAACACACAGGTGAGAAACCCTACATGTGTGGGGAGTGTGGGTACAGGACAACTTACAAGTCAGCCTTATCCCGACATATGAGAACCCATACAGGAGAAAAACCCTACAAGTGTGACCAGTGTGACTATTCTGCAGCAGAGAAATCCAAGATGGACAGACATGTACGAAAACACACTGGTGAGAAACCCTACATGTCTGGGGAGTGTGGGTACAGGACAGCTGAAAAGTCTTACTTATCCCAACATATGAGCACCCACACAGGAGAAAAACCCTACAAGTGTGACCAGTGTAGCTATTCTGCTGTGCAGAAAGCTAATTTGGACAGACATGTAGCAAAACACACTGCATCAAACGCATCAAACAATGAATTTTTTGTGACTCCCCCCCAAAGAACAGAAATGGAAGAGTCCAGCCATGAACATTCTACTGGAGACCTGTGTTT